CTGAGTGTCTTCCAACTTTACAATTCGGCTTCTATTATTCTTGTTGCTACTACTTTACGTGAAGATGTAGAGGATTTGCCATATGGCAACAGGTACTGAAGCAAATGTGAAATTTAATGCCAAGACCACACTGGGAATTTGTCAAAACCAAAGTAATGATCCGCACTGTGCACGCAGCTGATTATTTTACCACCCAAACATAACACTTACCACCACTGCCGCCACCAAAGCCGCCACCTCCATTGTTATAGCCGTCATAGCTGCCACTGCTGCCATAACCTCTGCTTCCTCCAGAGTATCCGGGTCCACTACCTCCATAGCCTTTAAGAAAAGGACATGTTCTTGTTCACAGCATAAAGTTCTCAATTAGCATATGTGGGAAAATATTTTTAAGAACCTGAAGAGGAAGGGAAGCTGGGGAAGGTATCAAAGACTACCTGCCCCCCAACCGCAGGTTTATCCATTGCCAGCTGTCATGGGGGAGGGTCCAGTTAGGCTGCTGGGTTTTGATAATAGTCTTTTGATGTTAAGTGCCTTTCAATTTAATTTGTAAGCCACTTTGGAAAGATTTGCATCCTCAAAGCACAGTTGATGCAAACTTACCATCGTTGCCAAACCCATTGTAGCCATCTCCGCTGCCTCCATAGCCGCCGCCACCACCACCTCCGCCACTGCGACTGCCAAACCCTCCTGAGAAAGAGCACTACTGTTAGCACCGGGATCAGTTCATTAAGATGACGGGTGATTAAATTTTAGCTCATTTATTAAAATACAGCTATTACAAACACATTCAAAGCAGGCTATGAAGAAAACATTTTCCAAACATTTATCTTACTATCTTTCTAGAGAAGTTAAGCAAGTTATTCCTGCAAATCCTCAACCAGAATACAGAGGTCTGGGAATTTGTCTTCTAGATGAGTTCTTATACCTTAAAAAAAAAAAAACACCAAGCTGCACTGGGGCTTCTTTATTTCTTGTAGCATGGTAGTTAAACTTCCATCTATTTGAATCAATAACTAGACACTGAAATAAGGTTTCTTCTCCCATTTTAGTGCAGTTGGGTTTTTTGGGGGGGTTTATAAAACATGAGCCCTGGGCAGATTCTTTGGAATAAGTGTTTGAAGTCTTTGAAGCCCTCGTGTCAACATTAAATCTTGAAAGTAACCAGTAAAATTGTCCTTACCACGGCCACCAAAGCTGCTGCCACGGTTGAAGTTCTCACCACCGCCAAATCCGCCTCCACGGCCACTCCCAAAGCTGCCAGAGCTACTACGACCTAACAAAAAAAATAATAACATTCAGCACTACAAAGAGGCACTAGAAGTCTAGGTTCATATCAATCAAAGCCACAAAACTCACCTCTTTGGCTGGATGAGGCACTGGCCATTTCCTGCTTTGACAAGGCTTTCCTGACTTCACAGTTATGCCCGTTCACAGTATGGTATTTCTGAACTATATAAAGAAGACAAAGTGTTGTCAGTATTTCCCTTGCTGTCAGTATTTCCCTTGCAACTCTAAAATTGGAAGTCAAACCAACTCAAATAATACACTTACTGACAATTTTGTCCACAGAGTCATGGTCATCAAAAGTAACAAAGGCAAACCCCCTCTTCTTGCCACTGCCACGGTCAGTCATGATCTCAATAACTTCAATTTTGCCATACTGTTCAAAGTAGTCCCTTAAGTGGTGCTCTTCTGTATCTTCTTTAATTCCCCCAACAAAGATTTTTTTTACTGTTAAGTGAGCTCCAGGCCTTTGAGAGTCCTAGAATAAGACAGGATAAATGCAATGTTAGGCTTGTATTATCAACTGTGAGCCAGTAGCTACCATTTTATTCTCCCAATCACTGCTCTGCAACTCTCTGTACTGGAGAAAGCTATCATACAGACAGCATGTTTAGGTTAAGTTGAAGACTGGTGTATATTTTACATCAAGGCTATGTGCTGTAGTTCAGAGACAGCCAACAGGTGCTCTTTAGAGGTTGTGGGACTACAATTCCCATGAGTTCCAGCTGGAGAGCACCACAAGTATGCACCACTGAATGTGGGGTGGGTGGGGGAGAACACTTCTAAATAAACATGAATTGCTCCACACTAAACAAATCCTGTGTATTTAGAACCAGGAATTGACCAGAGCACATACTGGATTACAGCATTACATGAATACCAGCCAACAGAATAGTTGCTCTTACGGCCATGTAAAATATAGCAATGCACAGGGACCCGGCATACCACCCAAGACTTTCATTATTAACTATAATGGTTGAAAAAAACAAAAGGATGCAACAGGTTAAATATTCCATGACCTACTGGCACTGAAAGTATAGTTTTAATTACATTGTACCTTCCCTACTGTAAACTTCCCTACTGGTATTAATATAGTTGCATTAACTGCAGTTCTGGATAACCAGGTACATGAACACAATGTTTATGGCCTTCAGCTACAGGAAACTAATACAGTGGTACCTCGGGTTAAGAACTTAATTCATTCCAGAGGTCTGTTCTTAACCTGGGTACCACTTTATCTAATGGGGCCTCCCGCTGCTGTGCCGCCGCACAATTTCTGTTCTCATGCTGAAGCAAAGTTCTTAATCTGAGGTACTATTTCTGGGTTGAGTCTGTAACCTGAAGCGACTGTAACCCAAGGTACCACTGTACAGCACTTTGACACACTCCTCACTAGTGCAGCCGACAGCAGCTCTCACCTCTCTGGATACAGCTCTTTTTGGTTCAACAACTCTCCCATCAACTTTGTGGGGCCTGGCATTCATGGCAGCATCAACCTCTTCCACTGTTGAATAGGTGACAAATCCAAAGCCCCTGGAGCGCTTAGTGTTTGGGTCTCGCATCACCTAGTATAAAAAAAGCCAAGTCAGATTATTTCACTTTGTTCTAAGGATACAACACACATCATAGCATGCCATGGAATGCATGATTCTTACAGGACTCAAAGACATTCATTTTTCTTGGGTAATGCCATCTACAACACCAAGTAACCAATGTCCCCACCAAAATGAAAAGCCAATCCCCATATAAACACCTACCACACAGTCTGTAAGTGTGCCCCATTGTTCAAAATGATTGCGAAGGCTTTCATCTGTCGTCTCGAAACTTAGGCCGCCAATGAACAGTTTGCGTAGCTGTTCAGGTTCCTTGGGGGACTGAAAAAGAGAAGAGTAGGGAAATATAGAACACGGAAGGTGGCACTGTAGGACTCTCCCATCGAACTACAGCTTCATGTAGATAAGCAGGCCTACTAATGCACAATAATCCTTGGATGAGTTAGCACACTTGTTACCTATTTCCCTGCTAGCACCCTAACTGGTATCAACATGCCAGCAAAGCTTCTCAACAAGAGTAGGGGCACACTCCAATCCTGCATTTGTCACTATTTCACATAATCACTATATCCCAAATAACCAAGGACTGCCTTTTATTCTTGTTCTGATAACCTTTTATTTATTATTTATGCCTTTTATTCTTGTTCTTGTTTTCAGCTACACATTATGATGTATTAAAGCAATAGGAAATGCATCAGCTATGTATTTTGCTGCTTAATTTTATAAAACACAAGTATGCTTTCCAAGAATATTGCTCTTCCTTCACTTTAAATCTGCCCTTCTACAAATAAACACACTTCTAAGGAAGACTACAAGCTACCTATCAGAATCCATTTCTAAGAAAAGGGGAAAAAACCTAAAGGGGGCAGGAAAGCATCAAGTCTATTTTCAGCTACAGGATGGCAACATTGTAGTATTTTAGGTCTCTTGGCAGAGCTAGAAACTTTGTAGCCCTAAAATGGCCAAGATTATTCAAGCTGTTGGCTAATAGTAGCGCCCAAAGTTCTACATACCTAGTTGGGAGTAACGTGCTTACGTACGACAGGTCTCCCTACTGAATGATAAACATGCATTATGTACACGAATCCCAAGAAAATTATCACCCAAGAGACAGGGGCGAAAGCGTGAAAGACATCCACGGTTGCAAGGGAAAGTTGGCGAAAGGAGAAACTGGCGACATTTGCGCGGGGGGGGGGGGCGAGAGACTGCAGACAAAGCAGGAGAGCACGTGGTCCGCGCACGTCCCCATCCCCCACGCAACTCGAAGAAGGGGAACCGGAGGCAAGTGCGCAGGCGCGCGCCAATCCTCCTGCCCGCAGAGCGCAGGCGCAGCCATTCCAAGCGTCGGGGAAGAGAAGCGGTGACCGCCACGCACTGTGAAACATGGCGCCTGCCCTGGAAAGCCAGCGCGCATGCGTAGCCCGAGGGGAGGTGGGGGGAAAAAGAGGCCAGGCGGCAAAGGAAGGAAGGCCGACCGGAGGCCATTAGGCCTTGAAGCAGAAGACGAGGCAAATGGCGGGGAAAGAGAGAAAAGAATTCCGGGATAAGGAATATATACATTTTTTGTTTTTTAGACTTACTTCGTGAGGAGACATATCGCACCCGTAATCGGACGATCCCTAAAGGCAAAGGAAACATAATTCCACAAAAACAAGCCACAGGTTGAGGGTCGAAAGAATGGAACTAAACCGCCCGTAATCAGGGCTCTTACCTCAGACTTCGACATGGCGGCGGCGTAATTACAGGCAAGGCCTAGCCCGGCTTCCCCACAAAGCGACGCTGCCTCTCGCTGAAGCCGAGACGAAAAGGGGCCGAGTCACCGAGTGCGCCGCCGCCTCACTAGTAACGCCCACACCGGCCCCATTTCATTGGGCAGGCTTCTCGGCTTCGTCGCCTCTCACTGGACAACGGCCAGATTGCTCTGCTTCCATTGGAAGCTCTCGTAGTGACCCCGCCCTTTTCACTCCGTTATCCGTACCCCTGTTGGCTTTCCGTTGGTTGGGTTTTTTGTCACTCTTCCGACTCCGACGGAATTCCCCGCCCTTTACTCCTCAAATAACCAGTCGCAAGAGTTTCTCTTTCATTGGGCAGTTCGGAACGCAGGTTTCTTGCGATTGGCTGGGACCAACGGATACCCTTTTGGGGGGTTGGTTAGCTTTTTATTCATTCATTCTAATAGAGGCGGGAATTAAGTTGGTATTCCTGAGCGTTTTTTGTGTTGGTGGTTGGTATGGTGAAGGCGCGAGCCGGGCTGGGCTTGGGGTGCGGGAGGAAAGAGAGTTCAATACGTGCAACATGCCTCTGAGGCAAACCTACGCTGAAGCGCGCTGCACACCTTGCGCATGCGTCACAAAGTCCTGCTTCTGACGAATAACGGGGAGGGGAGGAAGGGAGACTTGATAAGTGCGCGCGCCTCACGCCGGCGCAGTGAGGTTGGGAAGGGGGCGGAGGGGCTGACGCGTGCGCACTGGACGGGGTTTTTGGCGGGCGTTGCGCAGAAGCGGCGGCTGTGAGGGGTTACAAACCAGGGAGGGGGAAGTTGCTTCCGCTCCGAGCCCGCTACTTTCCCCAGGTGAGCGACCACGGGAAACAATCTTGGCGGGGCCGCGTTACCGGGAGCCAGCGGTTCCGAGGGAGGGGGGCGTGGTTTTGGCGTGATTGGGAGCCTGTCCGTGCTGTGAGGTACCGTTGGAAAGGGGGCGGGGCTTGCGCTCTGGGAGGCGGGGCGTTGGAATCTGAGTGACAGACTCATAGGTCGAAGGGTTGAGGCAGTTGGGAGGGTTAGACCATTGAGGGTCGGAGGGTGGAGTGGCAGCCGGTTTATCCAACGGGGAAGCCGCTTTTGCTTGTGCGGCGGGTGGTTTAGCGTAACTGTTTGATTGGCGCGGAGGATGGCCAATGGCGAGGGGCCTCGGTACTATGGCGCTTTTCTTTAGGAGTGGGAGGCTTTCCCGCCGTCAGCTTTCCCTCAGTCTCATACCTTTGACTACATATGGCCTTGCAGTATTTTGTCCCGGCCCGTAATTTTCAAAGCTGTACACCCCCGCGAACTTTTTTAGAGAAACCTCTTTTAGTCTGCCGTCCACGTTCAGCCCATTCACGCCGGAGAAAGTCTTCGTGCCTTAGTCGCTCGAGGATAAGTGGCTGTGAAGGGCTGGAGTTTTGCCTCTCGTGTTTTCCTCCCGCCGCCTCTGGGGAGTTCGCTGTTTCACACGCTCCTTCGCTCCCGACCCCGGAGACAGTCCAAGCCAACCAGGCGAATCCGCCAGCCTTTCACGTTCCCCTCTACTCGAGTTTCCAAAACCCGAAATTCCAGAAACTTTCCATGAAATATAGCCCCCCCCCCAATGGAAGATAGTTCCCAACTTATTTGGTGCCCAACATATATATAGCACAGGCAAGTTCGGGGAATATTCGGGTATCATTGTATTGGATTATTATCAATAATAATAAATGTTTATTTATACCCCGCACTCCCCAGCCAAAACCGGGCTCAGGGCGGCTAACAATAATAAAAACAAGTGGATTAAAATACAATTTAAAAGATTAAGTTAAAACATTAGGATGCAGCCTCTTCATAGGAGGAGAAAGGAAAAAGAAAGCGGGGGAGGAAATCAAACTTGAACTTATTAGTGCTCCGCCTTTTTCCCCTGACTGGACTCAAGGCAGTTTACAACTAAAGAACCGCTGAAAACACAGTGGGAGGAAATAGTCATTTTAAAAAATAAAATAAACGTTGAGAATTGGGTGTTGAGTGGGAAGTCTGCAGAGGAAGGACATAGTCCACAAACCCAGGTTCACACTTCAGCAAGTTTTGGTGTTGCTATTGTGGTTGCTGTTGGAGAGTAAGGAGCGAAGGGGCCCCCTTCACATTCATTCACATTGCCCCTTCGCAGTTGCTTTGCTTATTCTGATAGCTGGTTGGACTGGAAAAAAAGAGTCATAAAATAATAATAATGATTTCTTCTTTACAAGACTTCTGTTGGTCTTTACAGCAATTCCATGTTAAGATACTATGCTTGATCCAACATGAGGGAATGAGAGTGCATACTTGGATTTGTTGGCTGCAAGCCATAGAGAATATCTTATTGTGCATAACAATTGATAAAGAAATGTCCAAATATATATGTTACCGTTTTCTCAAATAAAATCAATGTTATTCAATCCAGAGAGCTGGAGTATCTGTAGGTGTAATGGCACTTAATGCTTTGGATTACTGTTGACAGTAAGATTTGAAAATTGGCTTAGCGCTTTTTGTCCAGCTGTTTGTCCCATGAAGAAAGAAAATTAAAATCTTGCTGCACAGTGTAGGGCTGCAATGTTCTAGTGTGAAGAACAACTATAGTTTTAAATACAACCTCAGCACATCACCGAGTCACCTTCCTACTGCTGGGTAGGGGAGCAAGAGAAATCAGGTTTAGTTTTCTTCACACCAGGGCTGAGTCTACACAAAGGTCATTAGTGATTTGTGCAGATGATGAATTCATTATGTGTGGATCCCAAGTACAGACATGTTGTAGAATATACATTGAATTATGGGTATCTAGAACTTGAAATGGCAGCTGGGATGCTGAGGAGCTTGTAGTTGGCTCTCAGCCACACTTAGGTGGAAGCTGATTTAAATGAGGTACACAAATGCTGCACATATAGGGGTGACCCTCAGCATAGGTAGAATTTTTTCCATTCTTGCCATCTTGTTTAACTTGGCTGGAAGGAAAAAACTGAGTAATGTGAAGATGAAAGCAGCTATATCTGCTACAAATGGGTAGATAAACAATAAGCAGAGTGGTATAGAGACCTGAAGAGAAGTGACTGCTCAATGTCTTTTTTCAGTGTCTTGTCAGGTATCTAGTTGCTGTGGGTTGCTAGTCCCTGAGAAATGTTGGAAGAGAAGGCTAGTCTAGGCTTTAAAAATAGATTCAAAATCAAAGCTGCCCACTTACTGAAATTCATTTCCTTCCTGAACAAGCTTTCATACTAATAGATACCATAACAAATAAAACATGGTTTGCAACTAAATAATGTCTTTACATAGACAGAATCAAAACTCTTTGTTCATGTATCCCATGTACTTTTTGCATTGTATTTTTTTCCCTGCTTAGAGATAAGACAAGATAGATTTCTCTCTGTACACATGTAAGTCTATTAAGCAAAATCCATTTCCTTGACTAAAGTGGTGAAACCTATGTACATGTACAGTGGTACCTCGCAAGACGAATGCCTCGCAAGACAAAAAACTCGCTAGACGAAAGGGTTTTTTGTTTTTTGAGCTGCTTCGCAAGACGATTTTCCCTATGGGCTTGCTTCGCAAGACGGAAACGTCTTGCAAGTTTGTTTCCTTTTTCTTAACACCGTTAATACAGTTGCGATTTGACTTCGAGGAGCAACTCATAGAACGCGGTGTGGTAGCCTTTTTTGAGGTTTTTAAAGACTTTGGTGATTTTTGAAGCTTTTCCAAAACTTTCCTGACACCGTGCTTCGCAAGACGAAAAAAATCGCAAGACGAAAAAAATCGCGGAACGAATTAATTTCGTCTTGCGAGGCACCACTGTATTGAGAAGTAAATCCCATTGAACAAAGTGGGTGAGTAAACATGTATAAGATTAACTGCAAGTTTTCATAGCTTTCCATGATGCAAGGGTTAGTTACTGTGCAAAATAGTATTTCTTCCTGAGATAGAAAGTAATTGCATTTCATTCATAACTTGACTGAACACACTGAACTGGTTCGCACCTTACACTAATCCAGAGTTCTAGAATTATGTGCACGAACAGGAAAGAGCTGCTGTGAGCCTGAGGTTTGCACACTTGCCTCCTCCCGCATGGCCAGAAGGAGGATTTGAGCAATTGCACTTTGCCTGAATATTGGCTTGTTGTGGTGACTTGATCTGGTTTATTTCCAAAACACTACTCTTGGCTGTGTCATTTGCAGTACAGTTGTACCTTGGATCCCGAACACCTTGGCACTTGGATGTTTTGGCTCCTGAACGCCGCAAACCTGGAAGTGAGTGTTTCGGTTTGCGAATGTTCTTTGGAACCCGAACATCTGACAGGGCTTCCACGGCTTTCGATTGGCTGCAGAAGCTTCCTGCAGCCAATCAAAAGCCACACTTTGGCTCCAGAACGGATTCTGTTCGACTTCCAAGGTACGACTGTATTTTTAAAAATATACATTGTTTCCCTTGTGGTTTACTTTACTCAAAAATGAAATCTTTAATTCATTCTATTTGGTAGGTAGCTGTGATACTGGTTTTAGGAAGTTTAATGTGTTTCTAGTAAATGTTTAGATTTCCTTTTGAACTAGATTATTCAAGACACTTGGATCTTTAAAAAACGAAATGGTAAAAAAAATAATCATCTAGTTTGGGGGATGAACTCTTTTTTAGCCAGACAGCAGAATAGTGATTAGCAAGTCCACCTTTGTCCAACTCGCCCCATGACTTGAAAAGCATTAAGCTAAACATGCAAATTGTAAATTACTTGTTAATTCTATTATTTTCTATTCCTCCCCATTTATGAATTGCATTACTTGTACAGTGGTACCTCGGGTTAAGTACTTAATTCGTTCCGGAGGTCCGTACTTAACCTGAAACTGTTCTTAACCTGAAGCACCACTTTAGCTAATGGGGCCTCCTGCTGCTGCCGCGCCGCCAGAGCATGATTTCTGTTCTCATCCTGAAGCAAAGTTCTTAACCCGAGGTACTATTTCTGGGTTAGTGGAGTCTGTAACCTGAAGCATATGTAACCCAAGGTACCACTGTATACAAGGTGATACATACATATGCATGCTTGTGTGTATGCAATATGAAAGCTAAATTTAAAGTACCTTAGAATAACAAAAAAGTAGCAGAATTTAAACATTAAAACTTCTTGGGAAGGTTTTCACTTATTTAAAGTTACACCATGGGCTGCATCTACCTCTACGGCATGAGAACACGGCCTGGTTCTAGTGGCAGAGAAGATTGTGGCAGCTTCATCGTGTCAGTGGACGCAATTGGTTTTTTTCTTCCTCTCCTTCCCCCTTAAGCCCTCCTTAACCCTGATTTCCTCCAGAAGTTTTCTCAACAATCCAAAACATATTTGGGGAGCAGAGGAAAGGGAAGTCCTGCTGTGTGGGTGGAAGTTGCCATTTACCCCTTCAAAATCAATAAAAGCAGGCATCTTTCATTACTGATGCTGTATGTGAGTTTATTCCACAATTGTATATCTACACATGGATACAAAAGCGGAATTTTTGCCCTCATACTAACAAGAACAATATCCAAAACTCAGCAACCCGATTCCTTTTTCAAATTCTGCGCCTTCTCTGTTTGCACAGTAACTATTGTGAAAGTGATAAAATGTTATGCTACAACATAGACTTTTATTTCTTAATGAATTCCCCCCCCCCATGTTAAAATAGAAGCCAATTAAGTTACAACAGGCAAATTGTCTACTATCATTTACCCTTGTATTTTCTTTTACAATATAACTTTTTTTTCTAGTTATTGTATATTGTCTTCCCCAGCATGCTGTCTGAGCACTTCCTGAACAAACAGACAGATCTGCTTATTAACTGTCCAGAGCAACTTGAAACATGCAACCAAACATCTGTATTCCTGATTTGCTGTACTAATAAAACCATTTTCATATCCTACCAGAAGTAATTCAGTAATTTAAGTAGTTGAACTGCAAATGACTTGTGATATTTTTAATTTAAATTACTGCATCTGTCAAAATATTAAATAAATGTTTAAGAACTTGAGCTCTCAATTGTTTTGCAGTCTAGTTCACATCTGCGTTGCTTCTTAGCAAGTTGGCTGCTGCTAGTTTGGGGGTCAGAAATGGTCACTGTTTAATATTTTTTTGTGGCATACTGAGTTGTTGTGAAAGGTGGTGAGACCATCAAACATCAAAGTTAAACTGGGTGTTTTGAGATAAAATTATTTGTATATGTGCTTTTGAAAAAAGGCAAAATAAATTGCTTCAGGACATTCCAGCATGGTAAATAGTGTAAGATGTGGATGCAAAACTCGCCAAATTACTCATCGGGCTCCAGCGATAGGACACTCTGTATTGTAGTCACATCATTGCCCCACATTTCTTCTTCCTCTAATTCTCTCTTGGCCTACTTCAATCAACAGTGTGTGGGCCCAGAAATTCAAACTGCGTATTGCTAAGCACTTCAGTGGCTTCTGAGGGAAGTACAGTTGTACCTTAGAAGTCAAACGGAATCTGTTCTGGAAGTCCTTTCGACTTCTAAAACGTTCGGAAACCAAAGCTGCAGAAACCACACTAGACATTCAACTTCTGAAAATCATTTGAAACCTGGAACACTCAGTTCCAGGTTTCGATCGTTCAGGAGCCAATTTGTTTGGGAGCCAAGACGTTTGAGATCCAAGGTACGACTGTACAGCATTCATGCACACCTGTACTGAAGTCACTGAAGGATCTGGTTAAAAGCAACAGCATATTGTGGGATTGTGGGAGAAAGAACAAGCCCAATATAAACAAGAAAGCAACTTTTCTATGTGTATTTCTGGTACAATATAAAAAATATACTGAACTAATATCCAATGGATTTTTAAAAATATTCTAGTGCAATGCTAGCACATCAAAAACCATACTTGATACAAGACCCTACAAAGTTATTTTTACTACATAGTTATGTGTACTACATAGTTTTTTACAGGATATTTTTCTGAACTTATACTGAACAGAATATATAGATGTTTCATGCATGTACCCAAACTTTTGCAACCCCTCGTCCACCACCTCCAGCTGCTTCAAAGTAGGATTCAATGTAGTATTAATATCTGCCAATGAAAGGAAACCCCCAAAAGACAACCCCTTTTCCAACAAATGGAGAGCTTTTTACTTGCACACAGTGGTATTTAGATCAAGGCCATTATGTCTTGTTTAGCGCAAGCAACACTTGTGTTTGAAAAGTATTTGACGCTATCCTTCAAATTTATTGGATGTGTCCTTTGTTTAAACATTACATGATTGCATTACACAACTGATCCAAAATTATGATGGATTTTTCTCTGATCATACCAACTATGTGGGTAGGTTACCAAATTTTCAAACCTCTTTCCAGGTTCTCTTCAAAGTGGACTGAATTAAATGGATGTTATAAGAAATAGTGGGCCTTTTACCACACAGCTACATAGTGGAGTGTAGAATAGGATGGTGTTGATTTTTAAGATATTTGCATATACTAAACGCTTCAGGAAAAGCTACAGGAACAAAGAATGTTTTCTTCTACATACAGCTCTCTTCTTGTTTTTACCTTCATGATTTAGTGCTTAATCCACACCCCTGAAAAAGTATTTGCACATACAAAAGGGAGTGGCCGAAAAATCTCTCATGGGTTCTTTCCTCCAATAAAAATAAAGAATCTCTGTTATACTACCAACACCTGCTGGGTACTGCAGGAAGCAGCAGCATAAAGCTCCAAAATGTTCAAATCCAGGTTTTAGGACCCAAAGTAACAGCACCTGAGATTTCCATCAAAGGATTGTGTGCAGCACTGAAACCTTTCTGCCATTCCTAGAGTTTAAAAGGCCACAATATGGTGTAATTTAGAGCTGTTTTTTATTTTGAAAATCTCCCTTTCTGTCCTCCCCAGTCACTTGGATCTCCATTATGTAAATTCATCCTGTCATATCCAGCATAAATATGCCAGTCTTGTAAATTGGGAAACGGTGGGAGAGCATCTCCTATCAACTTTCTAGATTTGTTCAAGATTATCTTTTATCTGTCTCTAGTATTTAAACATGTACCTTTCTGGAGCTCCATAAAATAATTAAAGGACAGATGAATTTGGTGCTCACAGAAAAGCAAGACTGAAACTCATTGGCTTGACCAGCCATGGTCTAGGGTGTGTGAAAGGCACTTTCCCTTGTGCACAATTGGTTTCTTGTGGTGCCAAATTGTATGCCAGTCCAGAATGTTCTCCTGATGGAGTAGCTCATTGCTGGCACAAGAGACAGTGAGTTGTATAAGTGGAATGCTGCTTACTGTTCTTTGCATGTAAGTTGCAATGTTCTGCTTAAAATCTTGCTGGTATAGTGACATCCTAACATCTTTTTTCCTATACCACTCCCTTTCACCGGAATGATGTCCATTCCAAAGAACTAAAAGAGACTGATTAGGTTGCAAGACAGTGGTCTAAGGTCACCCAATGTTAGAAACTGGGATTGAAAAGCTAGGACTTTTCTGCTGCTCCAGAGAAGCGGACACGGAGCAATAGATCCAAACTACAAGAAAGAAGATTCCACCTAAACATTAGGAAGAACTTCCTGACAGTAAGAGCTGTTCGACAGTGGAATTTGCTGCCAAGGAGTGTGGTGGAGTCTCCTTCTTTGGAGGTCTTTAAGCAGAGGCTTGACAGCCATATGTCAGGAGTGCTCTGATGGTGTTCCTGCTTGGCAGGGGGTTGGACTCGATGGCCCTTGTGGTCTCTTCCAACTCTATGATTCTATGATTCTATGACTTCTGGGACCTGGGCTTTGGACCTCTAAACAGACTGTCTAGTCACCACTGGTACCAATACTTCAGTTTTCAAAACACTCTACTCTTTATTATTAAACTCCTTAACATGTTGTCTATCCTTAACATGTATTTCAAGGCTTCAAAGCACATACATTTCGGTAATCCTTGAGTGTCAGCCAGGTGCAAAAAATGGCACCCAGACTTTTTGAGATGCTCACAAATGGAGAGTCTTTAGGTGCAAAATGTGCCTGGCACCCTGCTAATTTCAAACCCTGAGGCCACCCAAGTGAGCCCCATGGCCGAGAGAGTTGGACCATGTCTTACTTAATTTGGTTTCAGTTCTTTGCATGATGTGTGGGTTATGCTGTGGTCATGAGAAGTTTCCTGAGGCCTAATGGATCTTTCAGTGTCTTCCAGTGGGAAACAATGGGGAAATGGCAATACTGATTCTGCATGTTTATTTGATTGGAATCTGTGTGGAAATGTACCTCCTTTTAATCCAGTATGGATGAATAGGAAACTAATACAAGTACTTTAGTATCATCCCTGAAATGGCCATGTTCATATTTTAGATGGAAAATATTTCTCTGTTTCCTGTGCTCCATAAGATGGGAAACTTGTCAAGGCAAAGTAAATGCCTCGCAAATCAGAAAAGACTACAGCAATATCTGGTTGAATTAGAAACTTCAGAGCACATCTGAGTGTGAGTATCCCCCCCCCATCCTATATTGATGCATTTGTATATATTAATACACTTTTAAAAAATTATACCAAACTTTAAAATATTTTCATTTGCGTTTTTATCCTGCAGTTTTGTTTCAGAGAATCCATGCTACTAAAGTACCCCAATCAGAATCTTACAGAGCAGCATGAAACCACCTGAAGATCAGGTAACCTGAAAATGGAATGAAGAGGTATATTGTTGACTGGGTTTTAAGCATCATTGCTAGATGCAAAAATAGGTGCAATGTGCTTTAAAGAGGCTGCTGTTTTACAGTAAGAACCCGACCCATTTATAACAGCCAAGGGCATAACTGCAAAAGCAAGATCTCTGTGTTTATGGCTGCTTATAGGATCCATCAGTGCTGATTGCTCTGATTGGTACTTTTCCTGCCAGAAGAAAATTGGGGTGCCTAATAATGATGATTTATGTACAATTGGGTCTTATTCTGACACTTCATATACAGTGTTCACTCAGGTCAAAATGTTACATTTGTACATTTTCAGGTTTAAATAGAAACACTGATGTTATCACAAGACGAACACTAATCAGGCACATTGATGCCAACTATTCTGTAGTGCAAAGCAACTTTAGGAAATGTCTTTTTATTTATATTTGTTGGTTGATTGATTTTATATACCGCCCTGTACCTGGAGGTATAGAAGTTGATATTTGTTTTACATTAGTTTAGAAGCTGATATTCGGTTCATAAGAACTCACAGTATTCTCGGTATTTTCATATAGCATTATAACTAACCAATTAAAGAGGTAGGATATTGGTAACTCTCTCTGAGAACTTTATGCTGAAAGCTCAGTAAATCTCTAAACAACAACAACAGTAAAACCCAGTTGGATCTATATATTGGAAGCCTTAGAATGCTCACACAGGAGGGACTTTCCCATCCCTTCCTCTCCTCTCCTCCTCCTTTGGCTTCTGAAAAACTTCTCCTGGGTCAAGGAGTCTTCAGAAAAGTGTGGGGTGGGGTGTGGGACTGTAATGGGGAGTGGGGATTTGGCTGTACTTGTTTAGAGGTTCTTCTGTGAGTGTCTTTACACTTGTGCTTCTCTGGATCCAACCCATAAATAGTCCTAAAATTGTTGTTTCCTTCAATTGTGTTAAATATGCCTTATTTTTTGTTTCATACAGTTTCTTGCAAAACAAGCTCCTCGTGTACTTATAACATGTATATGAGTTCCCTGTATTAATAAAATATTTTGCTGAATGTAACTGTATTCGGTGCTTTTATTTTGGAAATACATTATTGACTCTTGTATTTGGTATTTGATATGCTTCCTGGTGAAAGTATTTGGATTTGAAATAGGTAAATGGAGGTTGTCATTGAGAGCCTCCTGACACATTTAATAAAATTATTTGACTCTCAAATAGGATGCTTTTGAAAATTATATTTTGTGGGTAGCAAGGCATAAATGCTAACTTTTTTCCTCTAGCAAAAAAATACCTTTCAGAAATCTTATCACTTATGTTTCAGTTGGAGTTTTATGCCGTTGGCTTTGTCCCTTTCTTGTAACTTATTCCCTTTTCTGGTGTGATTTTATTGTAATCTCCTCTTCTTGTCTCTCTCCCTCCCCCCCCCCGCCCATGAAGTATAGGAAACCTAGTTAAGCAATTTAAATTTCTAGAAGCTTAGTAGCACATAGAGAACTCATTGCAGTTTAACGAATGTTCTGACACACCATACAGAAACATAGCCTTGCTCTCTTGTTACATTAATCTCGGTACTAATTCTTTCCTTGTATTTAAGTAGGCAACATTTATTACAGAATAGAGTAAAATCATCTACACCTTCAGGAGTTCATACACCTCCAAAGTGGCATGTCATTGATTGCCAGCAGTACCATTCTGTGGCTTACTTTGAACAAAGTAATATCTGCATAATAAAAACGACACAAATCAGACACAACAAATCACAACACAGAAAAACAAACAGATGAACATCTCAAACTCCCACGACCTTATTTTTCTTTTCTCAAAAAAGTGGGTGGGAGACAGGCAGAGTGAAAAACTACAATTTCTGGTGGCTTGAATCATGTCCTAAATTGATGAAAATTCACTCATGTATGATGTCACACAAACGGAGCACTAACCAGCAAGAATTGGGTATACCTGGATCCATCTTTATTGATGAAGCTGTTGTTGTTACCTTAGGTCTTGGACACGGGTGGCGCTGTGGTCTAAACCTCTTGGGCTTCCTGATTGCAAGGTCAGCAGTTCGAATTCACACAATGGGGTGAGCACCCGTTGCTCTGTCCCAGCTCCTGCCAACCTAGCAGTTCAAAAGCATACCAGTGTGAGTAGATAAATAGGTACCACTGCAGCAGGAAGGTAAACGGTGTTTCTGTGTGCTCTAGCACTTGTCATGGTTCTCCATGCACCACAAGTGGTTTAGTCATGCTGGCCACATGACCCGGAAAGCTGTCTTATGGACAAATGCTGGCTCCCTTGGCCTGAAAGTGGAGACAAGCGCTGTGCCCCATAGTTGAATTTGACTGGACTTGACCATCCAGGGGTCCATTACCTTTTACCTTTACCTTAGGTCTTGTTTAATTAACTTTGCTTTCAGTATGCATTGACTTTTTAACATCTTGCCTTTCCAAGCAGTTTTTCTCTCTGGCCATCTCCATCGCCGTAATTTTCACTATACCTCATACATGAAGTAAGAGCCACTCTTGCCTACAAAAGCTCCTGACATGATAACCATTAGCTTTTATATCTCCTCTTTCCCATGTACCATGGCTGAGATCCTGAGGTGTTTTTCGTACCATCTAGTTTAGCTCTCAGATTACATTTAACTTCACCGTTGTTGTTCCTTTGTCCAGGCTGTTATTCCAACAACGAGTGAAGTTCTCCAGCCTCTTGAGTTGCAAGAGAGCTTTGTTCTGCAGCAGGGAAGAGAGCACGTTCTTGACTAGGCAGAGGAAACAGTGCGTAGCTTGGGTTGTTGGCCTATGATCAGGACAGAAGGGAACATAGTATACACCTCTGGTGTAAGAGGACTGCACCTCCACAGAACTTGTCTGTGCTGTGGAGACACAACTCTGGCTTTATGACCAGTGGCTTAACGTTCCCCAGAAACCTATCTAGCAAATGAGACCAATATAGTGGTACCTTGGGTTAAGTACTTAATTCGTTTGGAGGTCTGTACTTAACCTGAAACTGTTCTTAACCTGAAGCACCACTTTAGCTAATGGGGCCTCTGCGCTGCCGCGCGCGGCAATTTCTGTTCTCATCCTGAAGCAAAGTTCTTAACCCGAGGTACTATTTCTGGGTTAGCGGAGTCTGTAATCTGAAGCGCCTGTAATCTGAGGTACCACTGTACTGCTCCTCAATGAGGCCAAACTTAGATTCACAAAATGCAATGCAGGAATATGCGGCTGTCCCATACGGGGATCGAACCTGCGGCCTTGGTGTTATCAGCACCACGTTCTCACCAAGAGGCTTGGAGCGACTGGAATGAGAAAGGGTCCAGGGTGCCATTGGCTCCTGGGGCTGTTTTTCCAGCTGCGGTTGCCTGGGAAACTGTAGCACACCCAAGCTTTAACTTGGGTAGGCAATGTGAACGCAGGAGGGTGTTGATGATGGTTGGCCAACTGGCAGTTACGCCCTCTGTTTTTCCTTGGTTTTCTCAACCCAAGAGCTTGCCACTTACCATGTGTAAGGCTCGTCCCCAGTTTGGTTTGGCAGGTGCAGGGTCTGGGCAGGGCCGGCCCACCCATGAGGCAAAGTGCGGCAAGCGCCTCAGGTGGCAGGATCCACAGGGACAGCAGATCCCAGAGTGTATCTGTATCCCCCCCTTGTTCCTGATCTTCATTCACCCCTCCTACCCACACCCATTTTCTGGTTTGCCTCGGGTGCCAAAATGCCTTGGGCTGTGTCTGGAGTGAGGTCGTCACCCTATGCCAGCTGTTCTACCACAGAGGCTGGATTTTTGGCCACAAGGGCGTGAGCGTCAAGGGGGCAGTAAGCCCCTGGAGTGCAGATTCACCACCCACTGACCTTTGGGACCTGCGGCTAACGCTTAAAAGCAGGAAAACGTTCTGGAATTCCACCGTGTGCTTTTCGAACTCGTTTCCACGAGGGCAAGCGACTTGGTTTCGTTGAAATAGAGGCAGGGGTAAACATGCAGTGCTAGAATGACTCTCCACCACCAGACACACACGTGTTTGCTTGTGGGTAGCAAGATGTAACTGGTGTGGGGTTAGAGCAGGGGTCTGCAACCTTTAAGACAAAAAGAGCCACTTGGACCCGTTTCCGAAGGAAAAAAAGCTGGGAGGCGCAAAACTCGTCATTATAAAAATAACTTTTTTGTCACTTTTTAAAATTATTTCTTTCTTTGACCCCTCAGAATTACTCCTCCTCATAGAAATAAATGTTAAATTAACAAGTTACCTTTTTGTGTGTGTGTGTTCTTCACTCCCCTTCAAAACAGTGACCAGCGTACATGCCCCCTTTCAATGCAGTGACCAGCGTACATGCCCCTTACAATGTAGCGGGCGGGCGGGCGGGAAGGCGACGTCGGGACGGTGCGTGACTAATGCACGCACCGCCCCCATGCGACGTCACAGCCAGTACAGCGCCCGCCACAGTGGGGAGTGTCGGGGCGCACAATGCGCCTCCTCCCCTCGCTAGTATCCGCCCCGGAGCAGCGGCAAAGGTGTAAAAGAGCCACATGCGGCTCCGGAGCCGGGGGTTGCAGACCCCTGGCTTAGAGGAAGGGTGTTTTCTTACCCGCCTTGCGCGGATCGGCTTCCAATAGCCCCGCCTCCATTGCCTTGTGATGGTGGGGCATCTCTGCGAAGTGGGGAGGTCCCGGGGGTTGTGGGTGGCCTCTGCGAGAAGGAGTTTGCTGGAGCAAATGCATGCTCTCCTTGATCCAACCCACCTTGTCCTTTGTAACATTGTGCATGGCACAGAGCAGAGAGGCAGAGGGCGACTGGGTGTAAGGTAGCCTCTGATGTTCCTACTTAAATCAGCCTTTCGTTTGGAACCATGAGGACTGGAATCTTAGTTCATTTCAGAGAGAAGGATCGGAGCACCGTGTAGAGCGTGTGTTGCATTGCGTACACATTCAGAAAGCCACTGCCAATCACTGTTGACAATGCTGGTCTAGGTGGACAAATGGTTTGACTCTTAAGCAGTGCTTTTTTTCTAAAAAAATATATTTAGGGGCACTCTCAATTTCCTACTCATATTGAAATACTGCCCTTCAATGAGGCCAAACTTAGATTCACAAAATGTTTAGGGGTATGCATACGCCTGCGTCCCCCCAGAAAAAAGCACTTCTCTTAAGTACTGACGGACAAGGTGGTACCTCGGGTTACATACGCTTCAGGTTACATACGCTTCAGGTTACAGACTCCGCTAACCCAGAAATAGTGCTTCAGGTTAAGAACTTTGCTTCCGGATGAGAACAGAAATCGTGCTCTGGCGGTGCGGCAGCAGCAGGAGGCCCCATTAGCTAAAGTGGTGCCTCAGGTTAAGAACAGTTTCAGGTTAAGTATGGACCTCCGGAACGAATTAAGTACTTAACCCGAGGTACCACTGTATTTTGAATGTGGGCACCTCTGTACTTGCCGCTTCCTGAGTTTGCAGAAAACCCAGAAGAATAAAGAGAACGTAAGACCTTTTTGTTATAACCATGATAAAGGTAAAGGTACCCCTGCCTGCACGGGCCAGTCTTGACAGACTCTAGGGTTGTGCGCCCATCTCACTCAAGAGGCCGGGGGCCAGCGCTGTCCGGAGACACTTCCGGGTCACGTGGCCAGCGTGACAAAGCTGCTCTGGCGAGCCAGCGCAGCACACGGAAACGCCGTTTACCTTCCCGCCAGTAAGCGGTCCCTATTTATCTACTTGCACCCGGGGGTGCTTTCGAACTGCTAGGTTGGCAGGCGCTGGGACCGAGCAACGGGAGCGCACCCCGCCGTGGCGATTCGAACCGCCGACCTTTTGATTGGCAAGCCCTAGGTGCTGAGGCTTTTACCCACAGCGCCACCCGCGTCCCTTATAACCATGATACTTGACCCCAAACGCTTTCCCCATATGGTCTGTTCTGTGGCATAAACTGGGGGGGGGCGGGGTTGTGTGTGTGTAAATGTATAATGGTCTTTGCAAATGTATAATAATGCTATAACCACAATACATTTTTTAATGGTATTCAGAATAAATACAGCCATGGGCAAAGCAGCACGGCAAGAGGAAGGCTGGTTAATAATTCCTTCCTTGATCCAGATCTTGGGGAACGTTTGCTGCCAGCCCCATAAACGGTGCTTTGATTTCTTCGCTATCTTTGACTTCAGATGTCTGTCTGTCTGTCTGCCCTCCCTCTCCGCCCGCAGAACATGGTGATGAGTTTCCGAGTCTCGGACCTCCAGATGTTGCTCGGGTTCGTCGGCCGGAGCAAGAGCGGCTTGAAACACGAACTGGTGACCCGGGCCTTGCAGCTGGTCCAGTTTGACTGCAGCCCGGAACTCTTCAAGAAGATCAAGGA